ATTTTTGTTCTAGTAAGGTAACAGAAGGGGAAATTTGAGGTAGAATCTCTGACCTGGAGAGTTTTCTTATTAAGGTGATTGTAATTGCCTGGCAAAAGTGGATGAGAGTCTGAACTAGCCGGAAGCAGCAGGAAAGGGGGAGGAATTCACCAGACGCCTCTCAGGAACCATCCAAAGGACTGGGAACTAATTAGAGTTTGGACTGAGGAAGAGGGAGAGGTTCAGGCTGTCTGCCAAGTTGCCAGTTTATGTGATTGAAGGGTTGATTATACCATTTACTGAGCTAGGAAACACAGTGGGAGGGACACATAGGCTTTGAGAGGAATGAAGCTGAGTTCAGTTTTGAGATACTGAAATTGGAGTATCTACCCATGTCTGTTCAGCAGACCTTCAAATAGCTGAAGATTCTACTTTGGAATTGATTTAGTAGTAGTCTGGTCTCTTAAAGTGATTGAGAAAGATTAGAAGAAAGCCCACAGGTCAACAGTAACTTGTAAAAATAGCAGGTAATATTTGTGAGTCCTTTCTCATCACATGAACATTCCATGAAATAGAATTTATTTTTTTTTAGAACACTTAGTAGGTGAAATAACTGAGACTAAGGAAAGGTAAATGACAAACCCAAAGTCATATATCTGAAAATGAGTACAGTTGAGATTCCTAAGTGGAATTCCTAGCTGGAATAGGAAGTTCATGGCTTCCCACTGTCATTATGGTGAAGACTGTGTACCTTACAGTGGCTTCTAAGACTCTGGTTTGATCCCTGTCTGCTTGTGCATTCCCACCGTGTACCAGTTTGCCTTTCTCGAACATATTAATGCTCATATTTCCTCCGTAGGGCCTTTGGTCTTCTTTCTGTGTAGGGCCTTTGGTCTTCTTTCTGTCTGGAATGTTCTTTTCAACCCCTCTCTTCCTAATTTACTTGACAGTGTAAATCATATCTTAGAGGAGTCCCTTTGACCCTATGGAATAGGTCAGGCACTCCAAAAGTCGTTCTTAAAGAAGACTTGTACAGTTTGAAGTTACATGTTTATATCTCTGATAGGCTGATTAATTTCTGTCTTCTTCATATATTTAATTGCATCATAGAGATAGTCTCCGTTTCTCCTCATCAGTGTATCTCTGGCAAAGAGCAGATGATCAATATATATTTTTCAAAGTCAAGCTTTAATCATCCTACCATATAAGAAATGTCTTGGATTATACTATTCAAAATAAATGAACATTTTTTGTTGTAAGTAGACAAACTGTGTATAATGATAAACAATACTCATTCATTATACACAAATGAAGTATCATAACTTACTGATGTCTGACTCATAGTTATGATGCTGAAAATTGACTAACCTGTAAGAAATTCAAGGATGAAGAAACCAACAACAGTCATGCTTTGAACAATAATAAAGGGTTACTTATAACAACAAAATAATTCAAGATAATGAAATAAAATAGCATGTTAATAGACTGTCCTATTCCTGAGACACTTAGAAGGTATTTAAAGACCCACATGTAGCCAAGTAGAGGGAGAACACACAATCTCAGATTTAATCAGGGACCCTATGTTTCTCTGTTAGCCCTTTGTGTTTTAATAGGTTCTGTTATCAATTAAAAAGCAAACAAATCAGTAGATGATGGCCATTGAAAAGATAGTTTACTGTACTCATAGATCCCAGAAGGGAAGCTCTGGGTTTGGTCACAGACACAGAGAGAGAGAGTCAGGAACTATGGGCAAGTACTTTTATTGTGGTTTCTGTGGGAAGGAATGGGTGAGAGGGTGAACAGCGTTAGGACTGGCCAGTTTGAATACTTGACCCTGGAGTGATTCAATGGCTGTAAGTGTGAGAGCCAGATAAGGGAGGTCTTTGGGGGTGTGGACTCTTGGCTGGATGGTTTATAGTTGAAAAGTGCACCCTGGGGAGGAAGCTTTTTCCCACCGAGGCAGTGGGTGATGAGGGAGGAAGGAGGTCAAGGCAAGGTAATGCAGGCATGTTAACATTTTCTAAAACAAGATGTTGCAATCTGTTCTCCATTCCCAGAAAAAATGAAGGTAATAACAATTGGTCCAATTCTTCTCTGAATGGTAGTCCCAGGGTTTCTACCCTGTTTTTGGCCAGTGACTCCTTTGGTATCTTATAAAGCCTATGGACCCATTATTCTGAATAAGTGTATTTTAATATGCCAAATAAAAATTTACTGATTTATAAAGAAAATTAGTTTTATTGAAATATAATTCAAGGTTAAACCATTGTTCCCCCTTTCACTAAAGCCTACAGTTCAGGTATTTAGGTTACAGACTATTTGCTGAACTCTTTTTTAAAAGGAATTCTGCACGCTGAGCTGGCTCTGTTCTTCACTCTATGTAAAATAAGTCAAGTTCATTTCTCAGCTTGAGAGACAGCAACTTATCTTAGAGCGCCAAAGCCCAATGCCCTGGATTTTGAATCCCACTTTTGCCACTTAAAGTCTGTAAGACCTTCAACAGGTCAATTTTCTGTGTCCATTTTTAATTATTTTGTGTATATACTTATTGCTTTTTTGGAGTCTCTTGGAGGGTTGTTCCTTTTATTCATTGTGGGTCTCTGATCTAGCCCAGAGCAAGGCAGATAGTAAGTACTGAGTAAATATTTGTAAATAAATGATGGGAAAGTGGTTTCATCAGCTGGTTTTCCAAACAGATGGCCATTCTTCACTGTTCAGGAGGCCCCAGAGCTGCAGAGTCTTTATCTAGAAAATATGTTTCATGGCCAGTGCTTGCATCCACACAGTCTCACTCCTATCTTAGATGTTTATTACATCAGCAGTATAAAGCTGAATCAGTAAATAATGTAATTGATATCCATAAAATGCTAGAAAATTTTAAGATGTGGTTAGATTAAATTTCAGTATACTGTGCTTAAGAAGACAAGGCACATTTTAGAAAGATTTCCGTCAAAACAAGAAAGACCTTCAGAACTTAGGGGTTAACATGCAGTTTTTTGAAAAGTTTCCCAGGAAGATTCATTCTGACATGTTTTAGATAATTGGTTTCTTAAATTTTTGAGTTAGGAAACACTTAAAACTTAGACCAAAGTAGAAAACACAGTATAATTAATCCCCAATTACCTGTTACCCAGTATCAGTAATCAACATACCCTCCTCCACTTTTTACGTAGTCCCCACAGCTCATGATTATATCTCAGAACATGTCCCAGCCATCATTTAATTTCATTCATTATTACTTCTGAATGTATCTCTAGTGGGCCAGGTATGGTGGTGTGTCCCTATAATCTTAGCTACTTGGGAAGGGTAGATAGGAGGATCTCAGTCCAGGGCCAGCAGGGAAGGGGTTAGTACAAAACCTTATCTGAAAAGGAAATTTTAAAAAAGCAAAAAGGACTGGGGGTATGGCTCAAGCACAGGGCCTTGAGTTCAATCTACAGTATTGCCAAAAGGAAAAAAATAAAAGACTCTAGCACTAGAAGATAAGGACCTTTAAAAAGATAAAGAGATTATCTGTTTTCATAGCTAAAATGTTAAAGATTTTTTTAATATTATCATGTATCTACTCAGTGTTCAAACTTCTCCATTTGTCTCATGAATGTTTCTTTGTGTTGATTCATTTTGATTTGGATACAGACTAGGTCAACATATTACATTGGATAATCGTCTTAATCTCTTTTAATCTATAACAGTTTTTCTATCCTTCGTTTTTTTCTAGTGGCCAGTTTTTGTAATTGAAGAACCAAGATCATGTGTCCTGCAAAAATCACCTCATATTGTTGATTTTGCAGATTGCATCCCCGTGGTGGCATTTAGCAGGTTTAAATCTATCCCTTGTATTTCCCATTGATTGACTGTTAGAGAATTGGGCCAACATGGGCCTGGGTTTAAGTCAGTTTTGCTTGGTGATTCTAGTATACAGGCAAGATTGAGAAACCCTGACCTGGTGATTTGGAAGGCATTGAGGAACATTTCCTAGACATCCATTGTTTCAGAAGAGGTCTGTTAAATGGTGGTGCTGTAGTATAATATTTGCACATTTTAGCAGAATTTTTTTTTTTTTTTGGCAGTACTGGGAGTTGAACTCAGGTTCTTGAGCTTACTAGGCAGGTACTCTATCTATCACCTGAGCCACTTCACCAGCACTTTTCATGCTTTTTATTTTTAAGATAGGCTCTCTCTTGGCAGGCCTGAGCCACCATCCTCCTATTTGTGCTAACCTGCATAGCTGGGATGACAGGTTCACACCACCTTGCCCAGCCATTATTTTAGATGAAGTCTTGAGAACTTTTTGCCAGGGTTGTCTTCTAACTGTGATCATCAGGTCTCTGGCTGCTGAGTAGCTAGGATTAGACTTGAGCCACCATGCCCCGGGCCTAGCAGAAATTCTTCTATTGAAACTTTCACTCACTTTTTTGGTCTACCTTTAGTCTGTATTGGATAAATGGGATAAGCATAAATGGTGGATTCTTACCAGTTTTCTGGATAGTGAACTGAATGTCCAACATCCTACAAAGATGACCAATGAGTTTTGTTTAAGTATTTTGAGTTTACAGATTTTTAGAACATTTGATACAGCTCAAACCATTGTGTGTGTTATTATTTTAATGGTCACATTCTTTGGATTTTAGCCAATAGAAGCCCCTTTGACTTAGCTACTGTGACCTTTTTTTTTTTTTTGACAATGTTTAATTGGTTCGTAACCATGTTTAATTGCTTCCTTATTTTTAAGTGTGACAGTGTGTTTTAGCCTCATCTTATACCTTTGATAATTTAGTTGTTTTATAATTTCCTCATCTTTGGTAATTTCTGTCCTGAGCCTGAAATCAGTCATTTGTTAGTTTTTGTTTCTGTTTCCTATATGCTGACATTCTATTTAGTTAACTATGGAAGATACTAAATGGAGTGGTGAATCTTTATAGTAATAGTAAATGGTAACTAGGAAGAAATGAAAAGATTATGTAATCTGCAGTGATTGTTGAGTAAATTCTTGGTAACTAGTTTGTATTTTTTCTCCCCAGTTAATGTCCATCAGTGTGCTGGCAGTTTCTGCTTGGATGAGGGATTACCTGAATAATGTGCTGACTTTAACTGCAGAAACAAGGTAGACTTTATAATTCTTGACTGAATTCTTTCATCTGGTTCTTCAGATTCTGGTTTTCAAGTACTTTTGCCCTCTGCTGTTCATAGGGTGACGCTCCTCTGACATCTTGTAGAAGTTTGTGTCTGCAACCTGACACTTGCATTTTCTAGCATTCTCATTAAGGTGCACCACACACTATGTTTATGTAGACATTTCTGGGTATGGGAACATTATTGCTTGTCCTCCTGATTGTGTGTCAGCCACAGCATATTTGTGTATGAAGAACAGCTTTGCTACTTTTCTCTAAGAAAACCACTCTGAACAACTTCTTACTTCATGTTCCTGAGCTAATGAAAACTGAACCTTACAGTGGCATTTTTTTCCCTCACATGTTACAATTGATTCACTAACATCACTTGTGATAAATGACTTGTCCTCATCTCTGAATGGAGGAGAACTGTGGTAAGGATTAAGTGGGATACCTTTTTGTAAAGTCTTTAACACAATGGAGCTTGTAAGTACTTAATAATGGTTAAGTTTTGTCATCACTATTATTACTGGTTCTGGTTAATGAGTTTCCCATAGTGTCCTAGTAAAAATGATGTCTTTACTTCTTTCTGTGAATGTAGGTTGAGTTCTCTTTGTAAGGCAGTCCTTTGCACTCTGGGGGAGGATCTGATTTCAGGAAGAAGGGAAATTTTACATATGGAGTTAAAGATAATTCTTCTGAACTGGGAAATAGCCAAGGCTCCTATGTGGTTTATGTAGGCTATGGCTTTATAGTTTATATTTTATTATATTTCAAATGAGTTAAGATAGAAATGTTACCACTTGCATAAAAAGTATACAAAAACAAAGTTAAAGCAAGCAAATACAAAAATGGTACTGTGATTTTGAAAATAGTGATGTAGGTACTAGCTTTGAGGGATGACAGTTTAAAGACTCAGTGCATTTTTTTTTTTTTGGTGGTAATGAAGCTTGAACTCAGGGCTTTGTACTTGCAAAGCAGACACCCTACTACTTGAGCCAAGCCTCCAGTCTATTTTGCTCTGGTCAGTTTCTGGAGAGGGGTTTTGTGAACTATTTGCCTGGGCTGGCCACATTCCATGATCTCTAGACCTCAGACTCCCAAGTAGCTAAGATTACAGTCATAAGCCACCAGTGCCTGGCCACAAGTGCATCTTGTACTATGTCTTGCTAGCATTTTGATTATGTTTTATTTATAATATAGTATTGTTTCTCTTCTTTCAGGGTGGAGGAGGCAGTCATCTTGACTTACTTCCCTGTGGTTCATCCCGTCATGATTGCTGTTTGCTGTTTCCTTATCATTGTGGGAATGTTGGGATATTGTGGAACAGTGAAAAGAAATCTGTTGCTTCTTGCATGGGTATAGTGTTTATATCTTCTTTTTATTATAATTAAGAAGACCAAATGGTAATGTATTATTTTTATCAGTCTACAACATCTTGTATTTAGGTAACTGCAATAGTAGTAACTCTAATCTGTGGTAATTGTTCAGCATCTTATGAGAAGGGAGCCTTTCTTTTCATGACAGATGATTTCAATATAAGTATGTGCTGTACTCAAACGATGAGATAGGGAAATGTATATGCTGTTTAATTATTTTACCTCAGCTTTGTGTTGACATTTTCATTTGAAAGCATAGGTGGTTTTTGTTTTTATTTATTTATTTTTTTTAGCATCAGACCCTATTGCCATTTGAACAGGCCCCTCAGGACCAGAACTGAGATACCATAATGGAATTCTTTTTCTTTCTCTTCTTTTTTAAATGACCTAGCTTGTAACCCATGTGGAAATTTAGATGGTGAAGTAGCAGAGGCAGGCTGTAATACCTGTGCTGCCTTTACAGTTTAACAGAAGTATGTGAGTCTGTTTCCATAATCTCAGGAACAACAAAAAGCAGTTCTGGGGATTGAACCCAGAACCTTGCCCATGCTAGACAGTTGATCTACAACTTAAGCCATGGCCCAGCCCTTTTCTTTTCTTTCTTTTTTTTTTTTTAATTTTGCTTTTGCAATCAGGTCTTGCTGACTTTGTGCAGGATAGCCTCAAACTCCATCCTCCTGCCTCCCAAACAACTAGGATTATATGTGCCCCACCAATGCCCAGTGTCTTGTCTTTTCTCCTGTCTTCTTTTCCTTTCTTCTTTACCTCTCCTCTCCTCTTCTCTCTTCTGTCCTTTCCTTTTCCTTCCATTCCCTCCCTCCCTTACCATCCCCCCTTTCTTCCTTGACTCTAAAAGAATTGGACTGAAATTTAGCAGCAATTATAAATAGTTTACCTAGAGATTATTAGAAGAGCTTTGAAGGTGTAAAGTGTAGCACACAGTGCCACCAGGTAGTGAGGCTGTTGGTAAATAATTGTGGACATGAAAGACTCCTGGTAAATTAGTTCATTAGTATATTTGTTTCTTTGTAGTAGGTCTCAACCCTCATTGTGCATTCATTTCATGTAGAGAACTTAGAAAAGTTTAAGCAATGTTCTGGTAAGCTGCATCTCTGGGCAGAAAAAAGACCTAATTTGTAGCACTGTGAGAATTTCCATAGGGCAAACACTTCCAGCATGGTTAATTTCAAGTTACCAATATGATGTCACTGGATGTGGAATTGGGGAGGAATGAGCACAAATTGGCTCTCCATCCCCAGTTCACCCACACCTGTGCTTGACAGGCTCCAGTCCATGCCAATTAAAACAGGACCTTAGAGTGAAGCTGAACCAAAGCTTTAAATTTTATAGGGAAAACCTGGATTAACATATTACTTGGCCTCTTCAGTTCAAAGATTGGAGAACAGAAAGTACTGTAGAAAATCATGCACAGAAAAGGGGAAACATGTTCCCTGCTTTACTTCTCTCCATGTGGATATATTGAGAAAAGGAGAATCATAGAAAGGTTTGGGATCTTATGATACATTGAAGATATTTTACTTCTCTACGTGTGGATATAGAGAGGAAGATGGTAGAAGGGTTTGGGATCTTCTGATACATTTAATATACTCATTTTATATAAACCTTCTATAATCTGAAGGCTGTATACACAGCTTGCCTTGTGTATAGATTTATTGCATGTGGTTATGACCAAGCATAGTAAAAAATATTAAAAAAAAGAAATTTCAAAAACAAATTTTAAATTTCTGTACACATTGCGCAGTTCAGTTGATACAGAGAAGCGCTCAGTCAGTCCAGAGTTGTCATCATTTGTGTTAAAATTGTTACATGGTCTGCTGAGTGTTTCCCTGTCCTTAATTTTGTGAAAACATACCTCCCCAAGAGCAAATGGTGCACCCAAGGCATCAAATGTGCGTAATTGAAGTGATAAGGTAAAGATCTGAGATTTGTTAAAAGTAGCAAATCCTTAGTGGAAGGTGATCAGTGCTTGTGGGAAAAATGAATCAAGTATCCATAGTACAGAACTGAGCTCTGTGCATCCACAGGCTTTTCCTCCTTTGCAGTCTTCTTGGAACTATATTCCCACAGATAGTAAGGGTCTCCCTTGTTTCAAATGTAAAAAATAGTCTCAGAATCCTTATCTAAAACAAACCTTACAATGATCTCTCCTAACCAGTTTAAGTGATTGCCATTTTCCTCCTTCTTCCCATTTTTCACTTTGAATGATCTGTAGGCAGTGAGATGAGGCAAGATGGGCTCAGGTATTTCACAGATCCACAAAAGCTTTTGAGAAGGCATTTTGAAAATCATTTATACATTCCATTAGATGGCTTAAACAACATTGACGACAGTGACTGAGGCAGGACAAATCATGGATTTTGGAAGGAGTGTCTAGTTTGTGATTTATGATGCACAGTGACCTGGAGGACTAAGATCCTGTTGTGCTGCCTTTCTGCTCATAGCAAGAGTGTAGACTTTGCTTTGTCTAGAACAGCACAGCTTCTCCCTTGCTAAAGAATGAACTGTAGTCTCAACTCCTGTCCATTACCCTTAACTAATCAGCACCTGGTCTGTTTCTCAGGAAGTTTCATTTCTGGCTTCCTCTCTTTAGCCTCCTCCCCTACATAGTGGCCTATTCCTATAAGTCATGGTTCTACAATCTCAGGAACTCATCTCCCCTTTTCTACACTTATTTGGAATACTATAGTTTAGGATCACTGGACTTCTTAGTTTTTCTGCCCCTGTTGTCTCCTATCCTACTCCAAACCAGTGCTGCCAGGTTTATCTAATGCAACCATGATCACAATGAGTCCTCCGTTCAAGACTCTGATAGCGTCCCAATTGGGCAGTGAAGTATTCGACAGATATCTCAGACTTGCACTAATTCCTTCTAGACTCAAGCTTTCAGCTGCCTTTTTAGCTTTCACCCCTGCTTCATTATTCTCTGGTCAAGCTGCATTATCTGATCATTGGAAATATTTTTCATTCTCTGTTCTTCCTTATTCTTATTTATGTGGCTCCTTTTACCTATAAATTTCATCTCAATGTTTTCATTTATTACGACTTATTTGAAATGCTACCATGTGAAATAATAATAATGATGTGATAGCAGATAACATTTCTAAAGTGCTTCTACTGTAGAGTTTGGAAGAAGACCTTATGTGAATTAATCAATTTTGTCCTTTCCATAATTCTAATAAGATAAGTGCTATTATTATCAGGTAATAATAGAGGAGGAAATGAGGCACAGAGAGGTTAAGTGACTTGCCTGTGTTTGCACAGCTAGTAAATGGAGGATCTGCTATTCAGACCGTGGCAGTCTAGTTCCAGCAATAAATGTGTAACCATTTTGCTGTTTTACACTACAGTTACTAACTTTTCTTGTGTTCTTGTAACATATGAAACACTTTAGCTAGGACTGTTCATTTTTAATTTGACAGAAGTCATCTGTGATAGACAAGCATTAAATAAGACTCAGAGTGCTCAAGGTCACTGCACAGTAAGGAGTGGGGCTGGGATTCAGATCTCAGTGATGGCGATTGCCAAGGCCAGTCCTCACTGGCCTTCATGTCATTAGTGGATTCTTCTCCATCTTGGAAGTCCAGTGTATTGCCCTCATTATAAATTTTCTTCTTTTTTTTTAATAACCAGCCCAAAGTATCATACTACTAGTCACTTGCCCATTGTTTTAATAAATGCTTATTAAGTTAAGTAATGGACAGGAAATTAGAATAGAGGGAGTAGGAGTGACTAACATATCAGGCTGAGGATGGTGCCTGGGAGATAGCGAAAGTCTGGCTGTTAGAAAGGTTTAGCTTATAAAGGGAATGGCTTGTTAAAGGAGAAAAGTAAATGCAGAAAATGTGACATTATGTTAGGTCTTTGGCAATATTTGCAAGGCAACTTTCATTTTTTTTTTGATGGAGGGGGTGAATTCAACTATGATATAGTGTAGGAACTTTTGTAATTGTCACACAGCAATAATATGACAATAAAAATATAAATTGAAAAGAATTAGGAGGTTCCTTAATTTCATTTTGCATGTAAATATTTAAACATGCCGAGTACATTCATCTGATTGGTCTATTTCCTTGCATTCAGTCTTGGTTCATTTTTAGACCTATAAACTAGACTAATGTAAGAAAGCTATTTTTTCTTAAGACAATTAGTATCCCTGAGAACTGTAGTGTCTCTTGAATGAGTATAAAAAGAGCCTACAGACTGTGGTGCTGTTCTAGCAAAAGTAAAAATGCCATTATTCATCAGCCTGGTCAAAAAGAAGTGAGAAAGCCTCCCTCAACACAGATCTTTATAACCAACCTCTTCCTGCTATATCTCTACCCCCAAAATGAGTAGGAATAAGAAAAAAAAATCCCTCTGCAGACTAAGAGACCATCTATTAGAAAACATTTCTGATAAATAATCATGAATTTGACCCTTCTGTAGAATTTCAGATTTATAAATGCAAGTTGTTAAAACACTAACTTAAGGTTCCCCAATAAGACAAAGAACATCCAATTAAATTTAATTTCATATAAACAATGCATAATGTTTTAGTAGGACTTTGTCCTGTATATTTATGGTATTCATGTACTGAAACATCATTTGTTGTTTACCTGAAATTCAAATTTAAATGGGCATCATATACTCTTGTTCAATATGACATCCTACTCCAATTAGCTTTGTCCTTGTTGTTTTTTCCAGTACTGGGAATTGATCTCAGAGCCTTGTGCATGCCAGGCAAGCACTCTATCACTGAGCCACCTCTCCAGCCCTAGATTGATGATAATGTGAAACTATATAGTCTGAACTGTCATAGAATGGGAATGTTTGTGTGACAAGATTAAGAATATGTAAATTCTAATTATTATGGGAAAATAGGCCAGAAATGACTGGGGAAAGAAACTTGAATATGCCGTGACTTTAAAAGTAATTTCAGTAGCAGAAATTCCTTCTCTCTTTAAAAGAGAAATTGGAGCT